AGAAAAATGGGATTGTTGAGCGCCGCATTGGCATGGTCATGGACGTCGCTCGTACGTCCATGATCCATGCGGCTGCCCCCCATTTTCTGTGGCCTTTCGCGGTTCAGTACGCGGCGCATCAGATCAACCTTTAGCCCCGGGTCTCCATGCCGGAGACCTCCCCTACTCCCCTCCCCCGGTAGACCCCCTCCCTCCTCAGGGTCCTGCTCCCTCAGGTGTGTCCCAGGTAGACGTGGTCGAGCCGGTCGAAGTAGCGGTTGACTATGGTGCTTCTAGGGGTGCTGAGCCTGCGGGTGCGGGGTCTGGGGGTGCTGAGCCTGGGGGTGCTGACTCTAGGGATGCTGAGCCTGGGGGTGCTGAGACTGGGGGTGCTAAGCCTGGGGGTGCTGAGCCTGGGGGTGCGGAGCCTAGGGGTGCTGAGCGCGGGGGTGCTGAGCCTGTGGGTGCGGAGCCTATGGGTGCTGCGCCTGCTCGTGTGGCGTCTCGCAGGACTTGGCCTAGAGGTCTTTCGGGTGTTTCGTCCTGGCGGGAGCTCCTCTCTCCACAGGAGCTGCGCGAGTGAGGGTGCTGCTGGTGCTGGAGGTCCTACTGTTGCTGAGGGTGCTGGTGCCGCGGGTCCCGAAGGTGCTCGTCCTGAGGGTACTCGAGCTGCTGGACCTGCGGATGCTTCTAGTGGTGGAGCTGCTGGTGCTGCAGGAGCTGGAGCTGCTGCGTCTTCTGGTGGTCCGGCTGGAGTTAGAGCTGCTGGGGATGTTGGCGCTGGAGGTCCTGCTGGCGCTGGTGCTACTGAGGGTGCTGGTGGTGCTGGAAATGGCACTACTGGAGTTGGGCGTGCTGCTGCTGCTTCTGCTGGTTCTGGTGGCGTTGCGCGGCCGCGGCCATACTTCGTTCCGCTCCTTCAGCAGGTTCTTGGACTTCCGTCCTCTCCTGGTCCTACTCCTCCCTTAGAGTGTCCGCCGCCTGTCCAGTCTGAGTCACAGTTACACCCAGACTCCCCAATGCCTGCTCCTTCTCCCTACACTGGTCCTACTGGAGGTCTTGCTGAGCGTCGTGAGCCTGCATCTCGTCCTGCGTCGCCTGTCCGTGCTGCTCGCACTAGCGGACGTAGCTCGCGTCCGCGTCCTCCTTCTGTCCCCGGCACGCACCGGATGTCTCTGCGTCCTTCTACTACTCCACTGCGTGCCCCTTTGCCTTCTCCTCCTGGGTCCTCTCTTCCTGCTCTTGCTGACCCGGAGTCGGACTCCCTTCGTGCTGCTTGTCCTACTGTCACGCGTCTCCTTGCTACTGTCGTCACTGACCCTTCCTTTGAGTCCACTGCTGCGTCTGCGTTAGTTCTGAGCTTGTCGACTTTGCTGCTCGCTGTCGTCTAGACTACGCTGCTAGTCTTGTCGCTGAGTCTGAGTCTGTCTGTCATCCGTCCGTCGGGGGTGAGTGTGCCCTTTGCATGGACGTCCTTGAGGACAGGCAGGAGGAGTTCCAGTGCTTTGCAGCTGCTTCACCCCATCTCGTGTCCATGCTACTTGCCCCTGAGGGAGACCCAGATGCACCAGACATCCCGACTCTGCGCTCTTACGCGGAGGCGATACAGGGTCCCTACTCCTCTCAGTGGCAAGCAGCCATGGACGCAAAGATGGCGTCCTGGAAGTCCACAGGCACCTATGTCGACGAGGATCCCCCACCTGGGGCGAACATCGTCAGTGGCATGTGGATTTTTAGGGTGAAGCGGCCGCCGGGTTCTCCGCCTGTCTTCAAGGCGCGGACGTGGCTCGAGGCTTCGATCAGCGGCAGGGAGTTGACTACTTTCAGACCTTCTCTCCCACCCCGAAGATGACCACTCTTTGGGTGTTGCTGCACGTAGCCGCTCAGCGTGACTACGAGCTTCACTCTCTTGACTTCAGCACTGCTTTCCTACAGGGCAGCGTGCACGAGGAGATCTAGCTGCGCAGCCCACCTGGCTTCACTGGGTCTTTCCCTCCTGGCACCCAGTGGAGCCTCCGGCGGCCAGTCTACGGTCTCCGCCAGGCACCTCGTGAGGACTACACTTGCGGCTCTTGGGTTTGCTCCTTCTACTGCCGACCCGTCGCTGTTTCTGCGCACCGACACCTCTTTGCCGCCGTTCTACATCCTCGTGTACGTCGCCGACTTGGTCTTTGCCACAGCTGACACTGTTTGACTCGCCCACGTGAAGTTCGAGGTGCAGAAGAGACACACGTGCACAGACCTGGGTGAACTGCGCAGGTACCTTGGCGTGCAGATCACCCGGGACAAAGCACAGCGCACCATTACCCTGACTCAGTCACACATGGTGCAGCAGGTCCTTCAGCGCTTTGGATTCACGTACTCCTCGTCTCAGGCCACTCCTCTGTCTACTCGCCACTCGCTCTCAGCTCTGCCTTTGGATGAGTCCGTAGAGCCGAGTGGCACGTACCCAAAGCTTGTTGGCTGCCTCATCTACCTGATGAACTACACACGACCTGACCTTGCATACCCTCTTAGCATTCTGGCACGCTATGTTGCTCCTGGGAGACACCTCCCTGAGCACATGGCTGCAGCGAAGAGGGTGTTGCGCTACTTGTGCAGTGCGTCGGGCATGGGGCTAGTGCTTGGAGGGTGGAGTCCAGTGGTCCTCACTGGTCACCCAGACGCGTCTTGGGTTGACGACCTGGTTATGCAGCGGTTGTCACAGGGTTACACCTTCAGCCTTGGTTCCGGTTCTGTTTCGCGGAGGTCTACCCGCTCGTCTTCTGTTCTCAGCTCCAGCTGTGAGGCTGACATCTACGCAGGAGCCATGGCTGCATAGGAGTTACGCTGGCTCACCTACCTGCTGACCGACCTCGGAGTGCCGCCTCGTTCTCCTCCAGTTCTGTACGTAGACAACAAGGCCATGCTGGCCTTGTGTCGTGAGCACAGACTGGAGCACAGAACGAAGCACATTGCTCTTCGCTACTTCCTTGCTCGCGAGCTGCAGCAGCGTGGTCAGCTGCGACTTGCTTACGTAGCCTCTCAGGCCAACACTGCTGATATCTTCACCAAGGCACTTGCGCCTTGTGATCATCAGCGCTTCTGTACTCTGTTAGGTCTTGTACCTACCTTGCCTCACTTGCTCACTGTTTGACCTTACTTGTATTTTGACCTATATATACTTGCACTTGCATGTTTAGCTTTATATACATATACCTACATGTGAACTGGCCTTGTGGCCCTTGAACTGGTGCTCAGAATGTGTGGTGACGTTGTGATCCACCCTGAGCTTACTGTGTTTTGCTTGACTGGTCTTGTGACCCCTTGTTCTCCCCCACTTTGCCTATGGGGGTGTGTCGAACTTATATGCTATAGTCTTTCTAGGCTGTACGTATTCTCCCGGACATAACACCCTAGGGTTTAACTAAAAATACAGGGAAAAAATGTTGGGGGTCTCCTCATAGGAAAAAAATACATAATACCCGGGTCTTTACATATGGCATATTTTAGTGTTAGTGTTTTTTTAATTAGTCGATGTGGGTGTTTCGCTGGTCGTTTTAGCATCACTGCCTGAGGCGCGAATGTGATTTTCGGCCTCGAACTTCATCGCCCTCACGAAAATGCCAAGTGGCACCTCTCTTGCCACTTGCAACGGAAGATTCACCTGCACGTGGCAACAGAGAAATAGTGGGAGGGGGCAAATCTTGGCAGATTGCCTTTGAATGTACCGCGAAATTTCATTGAGGGAGAAATTCACACGATATTCTTCCGTATTGCAGCTACTCGTTAACGACTATAATAGTTAATCCATAAGAAAAGGGGGGTGTTATAGAAAATCAGCCAAAAAAGGGGTTATAGTAGAAACGATGTCTATCATAACACCCACCCCGCACAAGCTACCCGGGGGTGTACAATTATGGGGGGGTGTTTTGTCCGGGAGTATACGGTAGTGGGGTAGACAGTATGGGGTACAACATTCTAGGGTTGCATATTTGTACCCAACTCATATCCTATTTCATCATTCCTCATTTCTTCACATTGACGAGAAACATCCACTGCACGTGAGCGCAAATCATGTGCAGCGCATCCATTGATCACGTGCAAAAACACATAACAACTAAGAGTGAATGCTAAAATGCATGGATTCTACAACAGAGATGGTTCCAGTATGCTACCGTAAGGCGAGCAACGCTGCCCCAACAACGATCCCCACCTCAAATGCAAACCCGACACACTTTAACATCACACACTCAGTTGCATAACACGTGCAAAAACAACACAAACAACTGTGAGTGAATGCTAAAATGCATCGGTGCTACAGGAGAGGTGGTTCCGGTATGCTAAGGCGAGCAACGCTGCCCCAACAACGATCCCCACCTCAAATGCAGACCCGACACACTTTGACATCACACCTCAGTTGCATATACAAGGCACTTTAGCACATGCTTTGAGACCAGGGCCTCAGATTCGTTTTTAGCTTGGCTGAGACGTCAGCCTTAGCAGGCTCCGCTAGGCTGATCAATCAGAGTTGGTTCAAAAAAAAAAATCTGAAATTTCAGACAAGTCACCTAAAAAAACCCTGACTAATCAGCCTCACTAAAAAACGCAGGTTGATCTATGTTAAAGCACTTTGTTCATTAAGTTTAGCAGGTGCTGTGCTGTGCTGCCCTGGTGGTTGGTGAATGGCGCATAAGGGATGTGATTGGTTAAACAACCATTCACATCAATTGAAGCATTCTGTCGGTGACAACGAAGCAACCGACTCGTCAGGGAAATTCGTTTTCCCGCCGCGTCGGCGCTGTACGTGGCAACTTTTGCGTGATTGACGGTGGATGTACCTGGACAGCCGAAAAACACGGCTCCGGCACGAATCTGTAATAGCGTGAGTTCTGCCTACACTCTCGTTACAAGTCTGATCAATCAGCGGACACTTGTAAAAAAACGCTGGAAAATCAGCCAATACTTCAAAAAAAAAAACCTGAAGAATCAGCCAACACAATTAAAAAAAAAACTGAGTTATCAGCCAACACATCAGCCATATGTCTGGGATATCAGCGTCCAGACCCTAAATCAGCCTTTTTTCGCTGACTTCTGAGGCCCTGCTTGAGACAGACAGGTGCAAACAAACACACATACCGTACATACCGTATCTCACATAGGTGCACAGGCGCACATACATACGCACATGTACAACACACACCAACACGCATGCAAACAAGCACAGATAGATACAGAGACCGTAATAAAGACACAACCGTCCGTCATGAATAAAATTCAGAAATGCAGAAATGATTGCTGGCCTATCCCACCTTCCCCTCCCTACAACCCTCCCTCCCTCCTTCCCTCATCTCCATCCCACTCCCTCCCTCATCTCCCTTCGCAGCTCATGCGCCCTGCACAAAGCAAAATCAGGGAAGTCAACACACACACACGCCCTGCACAAAGCAAAACCAGAGAAGTCAACACACACACGCACTGCACAAAGGAAAAATCAGAGAAGTCAACACACACGCGCCCTGCACAAAGCAAAATCAGAGAAGTTAGCACACACGCGCCCTGCACAAAGCAAAAACAGAGACGTCAACACGCGCCCTGCACAAGCAAAAACAGAGAAGTCAACTCTCACACGCGCCCTCTCACCCTCGCTCACGCGCTCTCTCACACAGACGCTCACGCGCTCTCTCACACGAACTCTCACGCGCTCTCTGACACTCTCTGACGTGCTCTCTCATGCGCACACTCAAGCGCTCTCACTCGCTCACTCACGCGCTCTCTCACGCGCTCTCTCACGCGCTCTCTCATGCGCTCTCTCACGCGCGCTTTTACGCGCGCTCTCACGCGCTCTCTCACGCGCGTTCTCACGCGCTCTCTCCTGCACTCTCTGACGCACTCTCGCACACGCTCTCTCACGCTCTCTAACGCACTCTCTCACGCGCTCCCTCACGCGCTCTCACGCGCACTTTCTCGCACATTCTCTCTCTCACGCGCTCTCTTGCGCGCTCTCTCACTCACTCTCTCGCTCGCGCTCTCACTCGCCCTCTCACGCGCTCTCTCACGCGCACTCTCACGCGCTCTCTCACATGCTCTCTCACGCAATCTCTCACGGGCTCTCACGCATTCCGTCGCACTCCCTCTCGCGCACTCTCTTGCGCATTCTCTCTCTCACGCGCTCTCTCATGCACACTCTCTCGCACATTCTCACGCCCTCTCTCACGCGCTCTTTGATGCAATCTCTTACGCGGTCCTTCACGCGCTCTCTAACGCGCTCTCTCACGCACTCTCTCACGCACTCTCTCACGCGCTCTCTGACACGTGCTCTCTCACGTGCTCTCTCACGTACTCTCTCACGCAGTCTCTCACGCGCTCTCTCACGCGCTCTCTCACGGGCTCTCACGCACTCCCTCATGTGCTCTCTCTCGCGCACTCTCTTGCGCGTTCCCTCGGTCGCGCGCTCTTTCTCGCGCACTCCCACGCGCTCTCTTACGCGCACTCCCACGCGCTCTCTTACGCGCTCCCTCACGCGCTCTCTCACAAGCTCTCTCTCGCGCTCTCTCACGTGCACTCTCACGCGCACTCTCACGCGCACTCGCTCTCTCACGTGCTCCCTCACGCGCTCTCTCACGTGCTCTTTGATGCAATCTCTTACGCAGTCCTTCACGCGCTCTCTCACGCGCACTCTCACGCACTCTCTCACGCACTCTCTCTCGCGCTCTCTGACACGTGCTCTCACACGCGCTCTCTCACGCGCTCTCTCACGCGCTCTCTCACGTGCACTCTCACGCGCACTCGCTCTCTCACGCGCTCCCTCACGCGCTCTCTCACGCGCACTCTCACGCGCTCTCTCACGTGCTCGCTCTCTCTCACTCGCACTCTCACGCGCACTCTCACGCACACTCTCACGCGCACTTTCACACGCACTCTCACGCGCTCTCACACGCTCCCTCACGCGCTCTCTCACGCACTCTCTCACGCTCTATCTCACACACTCTCTCACGCGCTCCCTCACGTGCTCCCTCACGCACTCTCTCACGCGCTCTCGCATGCGCACTCGCACGCGCTCTCTCACATGCTCTCTCACGCAATCTCTCATGCGCTCTCTCACGGGCTCTCACGCATTCCGTCGCACTCCCTCTCGCACACTCTCTTGCGCATTCTCTCTCTCACGCGCTCTCTCATGCACACTCTCTCGCACACTCTCACGCGCTCTCTCACGTGCTCTTTGATGCAATCTCTTACGCGGTCCTTCACGCGCTCTCTCACGCGCTCTCTCACGCACTCTCTCACGCACTCTCTCACGCGCTCTCTGACACGTGCTCTCTCACGCGCTCTCTCACGCGCTCTCTCACGCGCACTCTCACGCGCACTCGCTCTCTCACACGCTCCCTCACGCGCTCTCTCACGCACTCTCTCACGCGCTCCCTCACGCGCTCTCTCACGCGCACTCTCACGCGCTCTCTCACGCGCTCGCGCTCTCTCACTCGCACTCTCACGCGCACTCTCACGCGCACTCTCACGCGCACTTTCACACGCACTCTCACGCGCTCTCACACGCTCCCTCACACGCTCTCTCATGCACTCGCTCACGCTCTATCTCACACACTCTCTCACGCGCTCTCGCACGTGCTCCCTCACGCACTCTCTCACGCGCTCTCACACGCGCACTCTCACGCGCACTCTCACATGCTCTCTCATGCAATCTCTCATGCGCTCTCTCACGGGCTCTCACGCATTCCGTCGCACTCCCTCTCGCACACTCTCTTGCGCATTCTCTCTCACGCGCTCTCTCATGCACACTCTCTCGCACACTCTCACGCGCTCTCTCACGTGCTCTTTGATGCAATCTCTTATGCGGTCCTTCACGCGCTCTCTCACGCGCTCTCTCACGCACTCTCTCACGCACTCTCTCACGCGCTCTCTGACACGTGCTCTCTCACGCGCTCTCTCACGCGCTCTCTCACGCGCTCTCTCACGCGCTCTCTCACGTGCACTCTCATGCGCACTCGCTCTCTCACACGCTCCCTCACGCGCTCTCTCACGCACTCTCTCACGCGCTCCCTCACGCGCTCTCTCACGCGCACTCTCACGCGCTCTCTCACGCGCTCGCGCTCTCTCACTCGCACTCTCACGCGCACTCTCACGCACACTCTCACGCGCACTTTCACACGCAGTCTCACGCGCTCTCACACGCTCCCTCAGGCGCTCTCTCACGCACTCTCTCACGCGCTCTCTCACGTGCTCCCTCACGTACTCTCTCACGCGCTCTCGCATGTGCACTCTCATGCGCTCTCTCACATGCTCTCTCATACAATCTCTCATGCGCTCTCTCACGGGCAATCACGCATTCCGTCGCACTCCCTCTCGCGCACTCTCTTGCGCATTCTCTCTCTCACGCGCTCTCTCATGCACACTCTCTCGCACACTCTCACGTGCTCTCTCACGCGCTCTTTGATGCAATCTCTCACGCGGTCCTTCACGTAGTCTCTCACGCACTTTCTCACGCGCTCTCTCACGGGCTCTCATGCACTCCCTCACGTGCTCTCTCTCACGCACTCTCGTGCGCATTCCCTCTGTCATGCGCTCTTTCTTGCACACTCCCACGCGCTCTCTCACACGCACTCCCACGCGCTCTCTTATGCGCTCTCTGACGCACTCCCTCACGCGCTCTCTCACGCGCACTCTCACGCGCACTCGCTCTCTCACACACTCCCTCATGCGCTCTCTCACGCACTCTCTCACGTGCTCCCTCACGCGCTCTCTCACGGCGCTCGCGCTCTCTCACTCGCACTCTCACGCGCAATCACGCGCACTTTCACACGCACTCTCACGCGCTCTCACACGCTCCCTCACGCGCTCTCTCACGCACTCTCTCATGCTCTATCTCACACACTCTCTCACGCGCTCTCTCACGTGCTCCCTCACATGCTCTCTCACGCGCACTCTCACGCACTCTCTCACGCGCTCTCTCATGCACTCGCGCTCTCTCACTCGCACTCTCACGCGCACTCTCACGCGCACTCTCACGCGCACTCTCACACGCATTCTCACGCGCTTTCACATGCTCCCTCACACTCTCTCTCACGCACTATCTCATGCTCTATCTCACGCACTCTCTCACTTGCGCCCTCACGCGCTCTCTCACGCACTCTCTCACTTGCGCCCTCACGCGCTCTCTCACGCACTCTCTCACTTGCGCCCTCACGCGCTCTCTCACGCGCTCCCTCACGCGCTCCCTCACGCGCTCTCTCACGCGCACTCTCACGCGCTCTCTTACGCGCTCTCTCATGCGCTCGCGCTCTCTCACTCGCACTCTCACACGCACTCTCACGCGCACTCTCACGCGCTCTCTCACACGCACTCTCACGCGCTCTCACACGCTCCCTCACGCGCTCTCTCACGCACTATCTCACGCTCTATCTCACGCACTCTCTCACTTGCGCCCTCACACGCTCTCTCACGCACTCTCTCACTTGCGCCCTCACGCGCTCTCTCACGCACTCTCTCACGCGCTCTCGCACGCGTTCTTGCATGCGCACTCTCACGCGTTCCTATGTTGCGCCTGACGCCCTGGAAGGGCAGCGTCCAGCGTCCGGACGTTCGGGGAAAAAAAATTCGGGCAGCCCGAAAAAAAATTCTCCTGCACGAAATTGACTCGCGATTTCATTGCGACCAGAATTGACGATGAAATTGCCATCTGGGGGCCGCGTTTTTTACCTAAAAAACGCAACCCTCACTTATTCCCCCCCACACATTTGTACCCATCCACATCTACCTCTCCCAACCTGGTGGACCCCCAACTAAACTAGAGAACCAGATCTAGGTCGACATTACCCAGATCTGTTTCTCTCGACATTGTCAAGCATTCCTTACACTAGAATTCGCCAGTCACGCTACTAAGCCTTCCTAGCTAAAATTAGGTTAAGGCGATTAAGATATCATGTCAACTCCTAGTCCCGCCGGTCATTCTGTTAGTGCCTCCACGCCTTCTGGAGATTTTCAGGATTTTCTGGATATTATGGAGTATTTATAACTATAGGTGACAAATGTTAACTTCTTGCATTCTAACCCCTGCGTATCCTTACTAGGCAGGTTTTTTTACCCCTGCCCGGAAAACATTTTTGCCCTGCCCGGACTAGCGTCAAGCGGGCGTCCAGGGCAGAGGGCACCGGGCGTCAAGCGTCTGGACGCCCCGTCCAGACGCCAGCGTCAAAAACGCCTGACGCGTCAGGCGCAACATAGACGCGTTCCCGTGCACACGCTCCCCCTCGCGCTCCTCTTCTTTAAATAGAAGTGCAATGCAAGAGGAGACGAATTGACTAACAAAATTTACGAGTCGAGCAGAGAAGTAAAATATAAGGGGAAATTTCAGAAGGGGGCGGGAGGATTAAAGGACCGAGAATGCACCTGATAATCAGAATGCCTCAGAAAACAACCCTCGTTGGCGCACCAACCCGCGCTCGCGCACCAAACAGCGCTCGCGCACCCACCCGAGCTCGCGCACCCACCCGAGCTCGCACCAACTCGCGCTTGCGCTCGTGCACCTGTCGCCAGAGGCGACGGCAGGGAGGAGGGAGAGGCGATGGCGGGGAGGAGGGAGAGGCGACGGCGGGAGGGAGGGAGAGGCGACGGCGGGGAGGAGTGAGAGGCGACGGCGGGGAGGAGGGAGAGGCGACGGCGGGGAGGAGGAGAGGCGACGGCGGGGAGGAGGGAGAGGCGACGGCGGGGAGGAGTGAGAGGCGACGGCGGAGATGAGGGAGAGGCGACGGCGGGGAGGGAAGGAGAGGCGACGGCGGGGAGGAGGGAGAGGCGACGGCGGAGAGGGAAGGAGAGGCGGCGGCGGGATGGGAGGGAGCAGCGACGGCGGCTGGGAAGGAGGGAGGGGCAATGCGGGATGGGAGGGAGCGGCAACGACGTCGTTTTACTTGGGGCGCCGGCTAGGATGGAGAGAGACGCGATGGCGGAGTGGGAAGGAGCGCGACGGCGGGGTGAGAGGGAGAGGCGACGGAAGGGAGTAAGGAATAGCTAGACGGTAGCTAAGGCGCGAAAGAAGCAAGAAGCAAGAAGCAAGAAGCAAGAACCAAGAACTAAGAAGAGACGAGAGTCGAATTCGAGAAGACAGGTGTGACAGGAAAAAATACACATTTTTATTGCAAAACGTTTTGAGCTGACCTGCTAAGGTAACTGTATTGTTAGATCTCACTCTGGCTATATAATGGTCTTAAAATAAGACTGCAGTCGAAGAGCCACTCAAAACTCCTAAATAATCTGCAATGATCTCGTTTGTAACCTGGTTGGACTCGCCAAACACGAGACTGAACATAAACTCGCATTTTTGAGAATGTACTCAATACGAGATACTACAGTGATAGACAGTGCCACGTGGTTCAGTGCGCTCCGAAAATCCTCCACGCAATTTTGCGAGAGAATTACCACGGCACGGGCTTTGGCTTCGTGATTTTTTTATACCGCGCTCCAGTTTTTATAAACCCTGTTTCGCCATCCATCCACCTTTTATCCCGCGCGTTTCGCGCTCGCCTTATTCCGGCTTGAAAAACGAAGTGTAGCTGTCAGTGTACGGTCACCTAGAATGTTTGTCCAGGAATGCAAATGGTCGTCTCCAACATTGTTGGAACCAGACCACGAATTCCCTGGGAGCCCAAACCTACGTGGAAGTGTTACGTTTGGCTCGATTCCCCCAACCTTTCAGTAGCGCTAATCTTTGAGCGCCAAATGGCAGTCACGTAATCCTCGCGCTGAAGCATTTCGAGCTGCGCAGCGCGAACAAGCACCAATTGTCAGAATCAAGAAGTGATTGAACTATGAAAAGTTGGAGTACAAGTAGCAAACCCTAGCTTTGTGTACCCCCTAAAGGCTAACCTACTATAGCCTACACAACAATAACACATATAGTGTTTGACACACCCCCATACGCAAAGTGGGGGAGAGCAAGGGGTCACAAGACAAGTCAAGAGAAGCAAGCAAGCTCAAGGTGGATCACAACGTCACCACACATTCTGAGCACAAGCAAAGGGCCACACGGCCAGTTCACATGCAAAAGTATATATGCAGCACAAAAATAAGGGTGATCTCAACCTAGCAGAGCAGACAGGCAGGAGTATATATATAGAGATCACAGTACAGGTAAAGCCTACAACAAGTGAGGAAAAGTGGGCACCAGCCCCAGCAAAGTGCAGAAGCGCTGATGATCACCAGGCTTAAGTGCCTTGGTGAATATATCAGCGGTGTTGGCCTGAGAGGCCACGTAACGCAGACGAAGCTGACCGCGCTGCTGCAGCTCTCGAGCAAGGAAGTAACGGAGAGCGATGTGCTTCGTTCTGTGCTCCAGTCTGTGCTCCTCACACAAGGCAATGGCAACCTTGTTGTCGACGTACAGCACTGGAGGAGAACGAGGCCGCTCTCCCAGGTCGGTCAGCAGGTAGGTGAGCCAGCGTAACTCCTGTGCAGCCATGGCTGTGGCGTAGATCTCAGCCTCACAACTGGAGCTGAGAACTGAAGACGAACGCGTAGAGCGCCACGAAACTGAGCCAGAGCCAAGGCTGAAGGTGTAACCCTGTGACGACCGATGAGTAGCCTGGTCGTCAACCCAAGAAGCGTCTGAGTGCCCAGTGAGAACAACTGAGCTCCCTCCTCCAAGCACGCGCCCCATGCCCGATGTACTGCACGAGTAGCGCAAGACCCTCTTTGCAGCATCCCAGTGCACCTTTCGGTGCCTGCCAGGAGCCACATAGCGGGCCAGAAGGCCAAGAGGGTATGCTAGGTCAGGACGAGTGCAAGTCATCAGGTACATGAGGCAACCAACTAGCTCTGGGTAAGGACCACTCGACTCTACGGACTCATCCGAAGGCAGAGCTGAGAGCGAGTGACCTACAGCCAGAGGAGTGGCCTGTGCTGAAGAGTACGTGAAGCCGAAGCGCTGAAGGACCTGCTGCACCATGTGTGACTGAGTTAGGGTAATGGTGCGGCGTGCTCTGTCCCGGGTGATCTGCAAGCCAAGGTAGCTGCGCAGTTCACCCAGGTCTGTGCACGTGTGTCTCTTCTGCAGCTCCGACTTCACGTGGGCGAGAGCCTCAGTGTGAGCAGTAGCAAAGACCAAATCGTCGACGTACACGAGGTTGTAGAACGGCGGAAGCGAAGTGTCGATGCGTAGAATCAACGACGGGTCAGTAGTAGAAGGAGCGAACCCAAGTGCCGCAAGAGTAGTCCTCAGTGTGTCGTGTCACTCACGTGGTGCCTGGCGGAGACCGTAAACCGGCCGCCGGAGGCTCCACTGGGTACCAGAAGGAAACGACCCAGTGAAGCCAGGAGGACGGCGCATCCAGATCTCCTCGTGCAGACTGCCCTGCAAGAAAGCTGTGCTGAAGTCAAGAGAGTGAAGCTCGTAGTCGCGCTGAGTGGCTATGTGCAGCAGCACCCGAAGAGTGGTCATCTTCGGGGTGGGAGAGAAGGTCTAAAAATAGTCGACTCCCTGCCGCTGACTGAAGCCTCGAGCAACGTAACGAGCCTTGAAGACAGGCGGAGAACCCGGCGGCCGCTTCACCCTGAAAATCCACATGCCACTGACGATGTTCGCCCCAGGTGGGGGAACCTCGTTGGCGTAGGTGCCTGTGGACTTCCAGGAAGCCATCTCTGCGTCCATGGCTGACTGCCACTGTGAGGAGTAGGGACCCTCGATCGCCTCAGCGTACGATCGAGGAGTCGGGATGTCTGGTGCATCCGGGTCTCCCTCAGGGGCAATCAGCATGGACACGAGATGGGGCGCAGCGGCTGCAAGACACTCAAGTTCCTCCTGTCTATTCTCAAGGACGTCCGTGCCAAGAGCACACTCACCCCCGACGGACGGAGGACAAACAGACCCAGACTCAGCAACAAGACTGGCAGCGTAGTCCAGACCACAGCGAGTAGCAAAGTCGACAAGTTGAGCAACTAGGGCAGACGCAGCAGTGGACTCTAAGGAAGGGTCAGTGACAGGAGTGGCCAGGAGACGCGTGACAGTAGGACTGGCAGCACGAAGAGAGTCAGACTCCGGGTCAGCGAGGACAGGAAGAGAGGACGCAGGAGGAGACGGCAAAGGGACACACTGTGGAGCAGTGGAAGGACGCAGAGTCATAAAGTGTGTGCCAGGCACAGGTGGAGAACTTACACGTGGACCATGGCGACCAGTGCGAGCAGCACGAACTGGTGACACGGGACGAGACTCAGGCGATACAGGACGAGACTCAGGCTCACGATGCTCTGTAAGACCGCCTGTCGGACCAGTGCAGGGAGGAGGACCAGGAAGCGGCGAGGCCGGCGGTAGCTGTGACTGCGACAGGACAGGTGGAGGACACTCTACGGAGGGGGGGGGGACTAGGAGGAGGCGTCGGACCAAGAATCTGCTGAAGGAGTGGAACGAAGTACGGCCGTGGCCTTGAAGTGCCCCCAGCAGCAGTAGAGAAAGCACCAGAGCCTCCAGCAGCTCCCGCAGAACCTCCTGCAACTCCAGCAGCACCTCCAACACCTCCAGTACCTCCAGCAGCTCTAGCAAAACCTCCAGCAGCTCCAGTAGAACCTCCAGCAGCTCCAGCAGCACCGCCATCACCTCTAGCAGCACCAGCAACACCTTCAGGAGCTCCACGACCTCCAACAGCGGTAGGGTCTCCAGCGGGCGGTACCTCAACACCAGGAGCTCCACTCCGGAGGCTGCAGCGCCGAGCGTACCACTCACGCAGCCGCTGAGGGGAGGGGGGCTCCGGCTGCGACACGGCACCCCTAGGACTACTAGCCCCAGCAGGTGTTTGAGAAAATAGAAACGAGAAATGAATGAACTATGAATGAAGTGGGTACAAGTACTAACCCTAATTGAGTTGTACCCACTATGGGATACCCCAATACAGCCTACACAATAGTATAAGCTATAATGTTCTGACACACCCCCATAGGACAAGTGGGGGAGGACAAGGGGTCACAAGACCGGTCAAGCAAAGCAAAGCAAAGCAAGCTCAGGGTGGATCACAACATCACCACACATTCTGAGCACAAGTTCAAGGCCACAAGGCCAGTTCACATGCACGAGTACATATATATATATATAAGGCTAGACAAGAAAGAGCAGGTATATATATATATAACAGTACAAGCAAGGTCAAGAGGTGAGCAAGTGAGGCAAGACAGGGACAAGACCAAGCTGAGTGCAGAAGCGCTGATGATCACAAGGCGGAAGTGCCTTGGTGAAAACATCAGCAGTGTTGGCCTGAGAGGCCACGTACGCAAGCCGCAACTGACCACGCTGCTGTAGCTCACGAGCAAGGAAGTAGCGAAGAGCAATATGCTTTGTTCTGTGCTCCAGTCTCTGCTCTCGACACAAGGCCAGCATGGCCTTGTTGTCTACGTACAGGACTGGAGGAGAACGAGGCGGCTCTCCAAGGTCGGTCAGCAGGTAGGTGAGCCAGCGAAGCTCCTGTGCAGCCATGGCCCCGGCGTAGATCTCAGCCTCACAACTGGAGCCGAGTACAGAGGACGAGCGAGTAGCCCGCCACGAAATAGAGCCGGAACCAAGGCTGAAGGTGTAACCCTGTGACGACCGATGCGTAGCCTGGTCGTCAGCCCAAAAAGCGTCCGCGTGCCCAGTGAGGACCACTGGACTCCGCCCTCCAAGCACTAGCCCCATGCCCGACGTACTGCACAAGTAGCGCAACACCCTCTTCGCTGCAGCCATGTGCTCTGGTCGGTGTCTCCCAGGAGCAACATAGCGTGCAAGAATGCTAAGAGGGTATGCAAGGTCAGGTCGTGTGCAGGTCATCAGGTACATGAGGCAGCCAACAAGCTCTGGATATGGGCCACTCGACTCTACGGACTCATCCGAAGGCAGAGCTGAGAGCGAGTGGCGAGTAGGCAGAGGAGTGGCCTGAGGCGAGGAGTACGTGAAGCCGAAGCACTGAAGGACCTGCTGCACCATGTGTGACTGAGTCAGGGTAATGGTGCGGCATGCTCTGTCCCGGGTGATCTGCAAGCCAAGGTAGCTGCGCAGTTCACCCAGGTCTGTGCACGTGTGTCTCTTCTGCAGCTCGAACTTCACGTAGGCGAGTCCAGCAGTGTCAGCTGTGGCAAAGACCAAGTCGTCGACATGCACGAGGATGTAGAACGGCGGCAGAGAGGTGTCGGTGCGCAGAAACAGCGACGGGTCGGTAGTAGAAGAAGCAAACCCAAGAGCCGCAAGCGTAGTCCTCAGTGTGTCGTGCCACTCACGTGGCGCCTGGCGGAGACCGTAGACTGGACGCCAGAGACTCCACTGGGTACCAGGAGGGAAAGACCCAGTGAAGC